TGCCACGTCGGACACAGTGCCACGTAAGCAATGCCACATCAGCAGTGCCACGTAAGCAGTGCCACATCAGCAGTGCCACGTCAGACACAGTGCCATGTAAGCAGTGCCACGTCAGCAGTGCCACGTCAGACACTGTGCCACGTCAGACAAAGTGCCACGTCAGCAGTGCCACGTCAGCAACATGACGGGCCTGCCGGGCCATCTGGCCAATGAGCCCATTGCCGACTACAAAAAAGTGTTTCCATGCTCAGCTCGCTCTAATCGAGGCTGAGGAACAACGCCAGTTGGCAGCCAAGGCTGCCCACCTACAGGCTGAAGAAGCGGCAACAGCAGAGAAGCTGCGGCTACAGGCCGAAGCAGACGCAGATGCCCAGGCTCGCCGCAAGGAAACCCCGGCTCTGCTGCAGCGGCATGAAGCCAGCAGCATCGAGAAACTCAAGTACTGGCACTTTGAACCGAACGGCGACGAGGCAACACCGGAAGAGCAGCATAGGGAGTTCATGGCCAAGCTCGTGAGCAGGTTGGTTTACACGTGTAACCACCTACAGTCCGAGCTGGCAAACCTCCAGCGGGCCGTGCGGAATCGTAAGACTCAGCACGAGGATGCCACACGGGCACTGGACGCCCGTGTACTGGGCCTGGAACAAGCTGTACCAGGACCAGATGCTGGGGCTTCAAGCAGTGCATCCTCTAGCCGCCAACTGGAACAACGCGTTGACCACGTAGTGGCAATGCTAGGAGACATAAGTGCCTTCACAGAGCCGGCCACCATCAGCCAGCGGTTCGAGTTGCTGGACACTAAGATCAGTCGGCAACAGCAGACTGACCACAGCCACAACAACAGCTCGGCGAGGCCATACAAGATGCCGACGTTCCAGATCGAGAAACTTGATGACTACACACATCAAGACCCGGTCGTCTGGTGGCAAGGATTTACAACGGAGTTGGGGATTCATGAAGTCCCTGACCATCTGTTCATCAGTGCTCTGTTCATCAACACCAAGGGAGGATGTCAGATCTGGCTCAGCCACATGGGAACCGTCCACGACGTCCAGGTTTCAGACCTATACAAGAAGGTCTCGTGGGAAGATATGACAAAGGAATGGAAGAAGCGGTTCATCGTCGACGACGCCCCGACACTCGCCGTCAACCGCATCTTCACGATGGCTCAAGGGAGCACACCGACACGTGATTGGCTCACGGAGTGGCAGAAAATCGTGGCAATGCCCGATTTGTTGTCATTTCCGCATCTGCGGTGTGAGTTCTACAACAGGTCATGCACCGCTCTCAGCCTCACACTGGGTGATCGAGAGCAGTACAACACTTTCGCAGAGATCATCAACAAGGCGAGAGAGCTCATCAAGACTAACAGGCCGGCTGCACACAAGAAGTCCACGTGGCAGCCAACCTATATGGAGAAGGTACGAATTGGTCCGCGATAGCAGCAGTTCGCTGCAGTCCAGTCGGACAGTGGAGATAACCCAGCAGCCACTCCAGCATCAAGTGACGAAGATCAGGTGGCTGTTGTCCAGCCGCGAAGCAACAACAAGTCCCGCAACAATGGGAAGGCGAAATCTGCATCGCAGGCCGGAAATGGACAGCCAGTACAAGTTCCATGGGTCAAGTTYGGCTTGACCGAGGCRGAGTACAAGGTCCGCGRCCGCTACGRCAGCTGCTATTGGTGCAACARCACCAAGCACAAGACCTCCCTGTGCCAGGATCAGGGCAAGGAGGATGTGCGACCCCGCCTCAGCTCGGGAAACTGAGCTCCGCGGAAGGTGAGGCGACTCCACCTTCTACTCCGCCAGATTCGGCCGCCTTGCTAGCGGCCTCCTGCACATCTGGGGAGAACGCGAATGTCGCAAGTCCTCGGTACACTCACGAGGATTATGCTGTCCACTTAGTTCCACCGCTGGACCAACCGCTCAACGTGCAACAATCCATCGCATCTACGGTTTCATCACCATCAGCAACCGATTCGGCAGCTTCGCCGCAATCTATCACGGGGGATTCGACGTCATGGTCTATCGCGGGGGATTCAACGTCATGGTCCAGACTTGAAGAGCTCGACCCGTTGACGTTCACGAACTTCTAGTGGATGCCCGTTCCCTCGACCGGACGATTGCTGAAACCGCATTGCAACGTGCTTATGGCACAATTGTAGGATTACTTGCACACTGCAGTACCAGCTCCGTTGATGGACGTCGGAGCAGAGGTTGTCGACCTTCACGCCTACATCGCACAGATCGACCGCGAGTTCAAGACGCAACGGTACGACGACATCGACGCACCATTGCTATACGTACGCATTCAGATCGGAGAGGCGACCTGCAGTGCCTTGATCGATTGCGGAGCATCTCGCAACTACATCAGCCAGGACTTCATGGTGCGTGCCGGCCTTGGCACACGCGTCCGAAGGAAGGCCCAACCTACGCAAGTCACACTGGCGGACGGTCACATGCACAAGTCAATCGATCGGTGCATTGACGACGTCCTAGTGTACTTTGCCCCTCACGCAAGTGAGGCRGTGTCCTTTGACATTCTGGACACCAAATTCGACATGATCTTGGGCATGTCATGACTGCGAAGCAAGGATCCCCCGGTGAACTTCTTCAACCGCACCGTTCACGTTTGTGATTGGAACGGAGTACTAGTTTCATGCACGGTGCCTCTTCCTCATCCTTCGATCAGCTGCCACGTGGTATCCGCCGCAAGCATGCGAGCTTCCATCATCAGAGTCGACATCGAGGAGATGGGGGTGTGTTTTCTCCACGCCCTCCCGCCACATGACGCTTCATCGACGGACTCACCTTCGGATCCACGCATCACCGAACTTCTCGACGCCTACAGCGACGTGTTCGAAGGCCCGCACGGAGTAGTACCGGATCGACCCATCCGCCACGAGATCATCCTCGAGGACGGGGCCATACCTCCACGCGGTTGCATCTACGGAATGAGCGAGGAAGAGTTAAGTGTGCTTCGGGCACAACTCGACGACCTTCTGGAGAAAGGCTAGATTCGGCCTAGCTCATCGCCATACGGTGCTCCTGTTCTCTTCGTCCAGAAGAAGAACAAGGATCTGCGGTTGTGCATCGATAATCGCAAGCTCAACGCGCAGACGATCAGGAACGCAGGCCCTCTCCCACGCATCGACGACCTTCTCGGGCGATTGGGCGGTGCCCAGTTCCTCTCTAAGCTGGATCTCAAGTCGGGGTACCACCAACTCGAGATTCGCAAGGAGGATCGCTACAAGTCCGCGTTCAAGACACGGTATGGGCATTTCAAATGGCTGGTCATGCCATTTGGCCTTACGAATGCCCCGGCCACTTTCCAAGCGGCTATGACAACGGAGTTCCGACACATGCTGGATCGGTTTGTACTCATCTACCTCGACGACATCTTGGTGTATAGTCGGAGTTTGGACGAGCATGTGGAACACCTGCGCAGCGTTTTGGAGCGGCTACAACAAGCCAAGTACAAAGCAAACCGCGACAAGTGCGAGTTCGCACAACAGGAGCTGGAGTACTTGGGACACTATGTGACGCCGCAAGGCATCCGTCCGCTTGCGGACAAGATCGAGGCCCTACGAGTATGACCCTAGCCCACCAACACCACGGACGATCGTTCATTCATGGGGTTGGCGGGCTACTATCAGCAATTCATCACCGGATACTCCAGGATTGCTGCACCTATGACGAGGTTACAATCGCCAAAGGTGCCATTCGTAGTCGATGACGACGCACGCCGGTCATTCCAGGCACCATAGACGGCTATGCTCATGGCACCCGTCCTTAGCATTTATGACCCCACCCTGCCGACGCGAGTGACTACGGATACTTCCGGCTATGGCATTGGGGCAGTCTTGGAACAGCACGACGGCGACGACTGGCACCCTGTGGAGTAGTTCAGCCACAAAGTGCCTCCCATCAACTCGCTTGATGATGCAAGGAAGAAGGAGCTGCTCGCATTCGTGATGACTCTCAGGTGTTGGCGGCACTTCCTCCTTGGGCGTCGTAGGTTCACATGGGTCACAAACAACAATCCATTGACCTACTACAAGTGGCAGGACACGGTGAGCAGCACGATCGGACGATGGATGTACTTCATCGACCAATTTGACTTCACACCGAAACATGTCCTCGGCCTCTCAAATCGCGCAGCAGATGCATCTCGCGAAGACCAGATTTTTGCGCTATGACACATCATGCCTTCGCATTCGACGAGGAGATTCTGCGACACTTCATCCGGGCATATCAGTCTGATCCGGACTTCGACACGCTCTATGCACAGCTATCTTCGGATCACCCGCCGGCCAGCCATTACCGCATTGCGATGGGTACTTGCTCCTCCACTCGAGAGGCAAGGACTTACTATGTATCCCACGCGACCGTCGTCTTCGGACTCGCCTCCTCGGCGAGTATTATGATTCACGACTCGCCGACCATTTCAGAGTCAGCCGCACTATTGCACGACTTCGACAGCGATTTTGATGGCCTGACCTCATTACCGATGTCACTCGGTAATGCGACTCTTGCGATGTTTGCCGACGCAGCAAGCCCCGCAACCGCAATTCCTACGGCGAGTTACACCCGATGCCTATCCCACGAGAACCTGGTCTCTCCATTGCCATGGACGTCATCGGTCCGTTTCCTCGCGACCGGCTCGGGCACGACGGCATCCTCACGGTTGTGGACCGATTGAGTAAGTATGCGCGTTTTTTCCCTTGCAAGTACTACTCCACGGCTCCCAAGCTGGCACGCCTCCTGCACACTGGTTGGATTTGTGGCCACGGTGTACCAGAAGACATTGTCAGCGACTGCGACACTCGTTTCATGTCGGCGTTTTGGGCTGATCTCATGCAGGAGTCCGACACAACAATGAAACCAAGTTCGGCTCGACATCCTCAGACAGATGGGCAGACGGAGCGGGCACATCAAACCACTCAAATGATGCTTCGTACGCTCATCCGTCCGGACCAGAAAGATTGGGTTGACCGCCTCCCCGACATTGAGTCCGCCTACAACACTTCGGTGCATCAGGCGATCGGCGTGACTCCATTCGAGTTGCACCACGGTGGACGGAAAGACCGGATCTTCGCCGACCTTCTCCTCCCTCGACCAGCTGACATTGACGCTGCCTGCTCTCCCGCTTCCGTCCGGAACTACAGGGAATTGCTGACTCAAGCCCACGCAAATACGCAAAAGGCTCAAGTCCGCATGCAGCAGCAAGCCAACAGGCGTCGCGTACCATGTCCCATCCGCGCCGGTGATCTGGTTTGGGTCTCCGCGGAAGAGTTTGCACTGGAACAGGATGTTTTACGCAAACTGCTTCCCAAGTGGTTTGGACCTTGGTCTGTGACAGCAGCCGCGGGCGATGAGCCCGATGGCCCTTCATTTGTGATCAACATTCCAGAGCATCTGATGGTCCATCCGGTCTTCCACGCCTCGAAGCTGGCAACATACACGCCAGCCAAGAGCGACGACTTTCCGGACGACGATCGTTGGACCCTCCTATGGATGGCCATCAGGAAGTTGACCACATCATCCCTGATGGCAAATACGGCAGCAAGCCGCGGCAGTACAAAGTCACATTCAAAGCATGCGATCGCGACGACACTCGGTGGATTTCAGGCGCAGATTTGAAAGCATCCGCACCGCTGATCTACGCGCATTATGAAAAGCGGAGGTTAGCTCAGGAAGCTTCACGACCAGCCCCTCCCACCCGGATTGTGGTCCCTCCCTCAGACAGACAGCTTCGCCCTCATAGGTAAGCTCGGTTCTTCAAGGAGGGGGGGGTGTGGCATACTGCGTAGTCACACGGGCCCTGCAGGGCCCGTCCCGGACATTCAGCCTAAAAGCCTAAAACTTAGGGCTTACAGGCCCCGGTCGTTTCAGCCTGAAAGCTGAAAAACGAGGGCCTGCAGGCCCTACCCCGTTTCAGCCTATTTCTGGGTCTTTTCAGACCCAGAGTTTTCAGCCTGAAATGGAGGGCCATTTTCAGGCCCTCATTGTTTCGACCTGCCCCTAAGACTCAGGCACATAAACGGGGATGCGGAACAGGCCAAGAATAGCCTGTTCCTCACGTGCTCGAGCAGGAGCTGCAGCTGCAGCCCCTGCCTGCCTTCGACATTGGTAAGGACAGCCTCCTGGACTGCTCGCACGAGTCAGGAGGCACACCCGAGAAGTACATAGGACTGTCCTAGGCACTTCACGGGTAGGTAGTTCAGTAGGCAGGAGGTAGTCTTCAGGATTTCGGCCGCAACACTCAGGAGGAGCGCTGCAGTAGTCTTCAGCGCTAGGTGATGTAGCGCTAGCTGTAGTCTTCGGCGCTGGGCGCCATAGCTGTAGTTGTAGTCTTCAGCGCTGGGCGCTGGTAGGTGGTAAATCGTAGAGTGGGAGAGAGACTGGCGGAGGCCAGTGATACTTACCTGTGGCGCCATCGCTCCAGCTCCGTCTTCATGGTACCTGCATCAAGGCACCAACTTCACAGGTTAGTACTGGACACAGAGAGAGAGAGAGAGTTCTTCTTCTTCCTTTTCTAAGTCCACCTTCTCTTCTCACCCTCTCGCCACCTGACTTCTCAGACTACGACAGAGAGAGACAGAGTTGTGACTTGAGACTTGACGACATTGGATCCAGACTTGACATTTGGGATTCAGAGATTTCGACAAGGGACTATTTGGGCTTGTGCCGAAGACTTGGTGTTGACGACATTCCCATCTTCCCCCTCCTCTTCGTCTGTGTATGGTATGGGCTGGCGCAGTCTTCCTGTGTGAAGCGCCAGGCCCCGTTCACACCATGTAACGATGATGATGATGTATGTTCAGAGCTGCATTGCAACATTGATTGTTCAGATCACTGGTATCTAAGTCTTCCGCTGCGCTATCTTATACTTTGTATTGAAAGGTCGGTTCTTGTTCTGGTCTGCACGTTACAGTATGCAACAGAGAGAGAGAGAGAGAGAG